ACATTCTCTTGTCGAGATCGAACTTTAAGAGAAGCATTTTGGACATTCTCAAGGACAATGTGCTTGATGTTTTCACCAGCAACATACTTGGCTTCAGTTAAGGCAAAGGAAGAGGTTTTCATAACCTCTCCCATTGATTCCTTTGTAGTGACAATCTTTTTAAGAATCTGACGGAACTGAACAGTCAGAGCATCACTCTTCTTCTTGAGAAGAGCATGACCTCTTGTAGCCCCCACAAGTCGACTTTTCATCACTCCAAGCATTGTAACTGTTGGAACTACATTCAACCGCTGGCTTTGCCCAGACATCTTCTCAGATTATCTAGAATAAATAAGCTCCACTAATAAGACATAATTTTCATCTTTTAAAAAACAAAAAACAGACCATGATATGAGATTTATGGTTTATTATTATGATATTGATATGGGTGTTCTTTTAGATTCTAGGACAGATTTTCTTCCATAAAATGATTCAACTATCACTATGGTGTTATATGATATTTGTTTACAATCAAATATGCCTTTTATGTTCTATCCAGAGCTAAAATTAAAATTTTAAGCAATTAAATTGAATTTAAAAAAAAAAAAAAAAATAAACGCTATTTTGATCATTTATATGAAATAAAAGATAGAGAGACACAAAAAGACTTACTGTTTTCGAAGGAAGGCCAAGAGATTTATGGGTTTTCTTTCTTCTACAATCACTGCAAAAGATTGAACCAGAATATAAATCTCAAATAAAACATACACATGCAGATCTGAACTAAAAATTTCACCAAGATCTGAGACAGCAGATATATAAGGGGATTTCCCTTCAATATAAACACAATACTTTCAAAGACAAATTGCCAACTTAAATTTTAAAGACATATAAACCACAAAACTAGATGATGCTTTTTTTTTCCCTTACTGGAAAAAAACCTAATAAACTCTATCCTTTCTTTACTGGAATTCCCTTCAATATAAACTCAATACTTTCAAAGACACATTGCCAACTTACATTTTAAAGACATATAAACCACAAAACTAGATGATGCTTTTTTTTTTCCCTTACTGGAAAAAAAAAAACCTAATAAACTCTATCCTTCCTTTACAACTCATGGTCCCTCTCCAAATCTCTACAAACTCACATCAGACTTTCAGCCAAGAAAAAGAACTGCAGGCTGTGTCAACTTGAAGCTTACAGTTTCACAATTTTCAGTCTTTCCACAAACTCAATTTTCTTACTTTTCTCTTCAAACACTTAGCCTAACAGTAAACCAAACCGTCTCAAGAAGTGCTCGTAGTCAGTTCTCAACTCATTCGGGTAAGCTCTATATATATATATGATCAAAGATTAAAGAGTTGTTCGTTTAGATAAGGGTTAGAGACCAAAGTAGGGGTTTTAGCATGTGGGAAGAGAAATAACGCATGTTAAGGTTTTGATGATACTTGTGCTCAGTAATTTAACTCTGTTCTTTAAAAATTATTCTCTTACTCTAGAAATTGGCTGGTAATTCAGTACGCAAGGTTCTTGAAGTAAAACTGCTTCCGAATCGAGTATTTTTTAAGTTTTGACAAAGTAAGATGTCTTTCTACTCTGGAATAGTCATCAATTTCGTCTATTAAATTGAACTCAATGTAAATCTGCATTTTGAACTAAACCATTCCATAACCCATTTCTTAAAAATGCTAAAAATCCAAGAAAAAAATCATTCTTGACCCTGCTTCTTGACAGTATTTATTCTACATAAAATTTTTACTACAAAGAAAATTCCTAACCTGGCATGGAAACTTAATCAAAAAAATCCAAATGATCAATCACCCTTTTTCTTCTTTCTGATTTAACTAACCAACCGACTCATTTGCGTGGCTTAGGGTTCTACTTTTAAAGAAAAATCTCGCAATCTTTCTTATAAACGCAAAGAATATGTAATATTTTACAGGTTTTATGTATTGCTACCAAATAACAAACAGTTTAAACAATGTAAAATTAATAATCCGTAAGATCGTGATGGGAAATTAAGACAAAATAGAAGAGAACTCCAAAAGAAAGGAAAAAAAAAAAAAGTTAACATATTGAACAGAATTAAATACCTAATGAAGCAAAGGGAGAAAACTGTTGAAGCCAAAGGAATGATGGATCGCCAGAAACCCACAGTGATTTCGGTTAGTCTCTTCACTTCAATGGCGATTTACTGACTGCTCAAATGGAGATCTGTAATGGAGAAAGGACAAGGGAGGAGGGTTCATTTTAATAATGTTTTCCCATTTCATTAAGGCTATTATAGTCAAATCGTCTTCATTTGACTTATTTATTACCTTGAGTCTTCAATTTATATTTTTATTTATTAGATAATTTGTTATTCAATATTAGTTATTTTTTTATTTATACTTTATTTACAGTATAACTTTGTATTACAATTAATTTTTAAAAAATAATGTTATTTTTGATAATTAATTTTGGGATGTTACTGGTCTCCACCTTAATTTAATCATTCATAAATATTATTAAATGTAAAATATATTATTTTTTTATAATTAGATATAAATCAAATATTTATAAATATATATTAATATCACAAAAATTACACCATATATATATATATATATATATAGTAAAACCTCTCTATAGTGATATATATGAATGAACTCTACATAATCATAAAAAATTCTAATCCCAATTTGGGATAGTTATAAATAAGAATAAACTCTACATTGTAATAAATTATAATTTTTCTAATTTCCATCTTAAAGAACATTGTCTGCACATAGTAATAATTATCTGTATATTACAAAAAAATATATATTATGTTACATTAAAGGTTTAAGATGAAATAAAATATTTATCTAAAGTTATTTGGCACAATGATTTATATTTTATAGTTGTTATCACATTTTTTACCTTACTAGTATGTAATAACTTGCTAGCATAAACACTTTCTTGTTGAAGCTAAGAAGCATATTTAAAACTTCATGGCACGAAACTTTTTGTATTTTCGTACTATCATCCATGGGATTATTTGCTTTATCTTCTTATCTAATTGTAACAATGGTTTCTTCTTCGATTAAAACATACATGATTTATTGCTTATTTGGATGATCGAAGAAGACATTAATATCCATTTGATTAATGTAGTGAAATTGTCGAATCTGATCACTCAATTTTGCAATGATTATTTTATTTTCTTGTCGAATCTGATAACTTAATTTTGCAATGATTCTTTTATTTTCTTCGTCCACTTCATTTGTAACTTACAATTCATTGAAATCGAGAGTCCTAATTTTGCAATGTTTAAAACCATTGACAATTGTTTGTGGCTTTACATCAATTGACCATCCATCAACTATATTTATAGCTCCATCAATGACACTTATCTTTGCTAGTTTTAAGACAAGGTCTTCTATCCATTTCAAAAGTAGGCAATTGAAGTTGAAGCATTCAATTGAAATCCTAATATTACTAAAATATGAATTGAAATCCTAATACTATACTACTAAAACATGAATTAAAAAATAAGAAATCAAAACTATAATTTTTATAACTATGCATTCATTAAGTTATAACCTTCTTATAGTAATAAAATTAGTTAGTCTCATCATTATGATTATAGAGAGATTTTACTGTATTATATATATATTCTTGAGAATGAGAAATTGTGAAAGGTAGTAGCATAGTGGATAACTTTTTTTTATTTTTTTTAATGATCGAAGTTGTCCAAGCCAACTTATGCTGTTACGCACGCATCAACTAATCCTTCAAGACTCTGAAACTATGAGTCGGAAAAGAGTTCACATGATTATCTTTATTCGTAACTGAAGAAGAATTCGAATTCAAGACCTCTTGAATAATACACCTAAAAATTTCTATTAAACCATTCGATTATCTAGGAATAGTTGGCATTATTACTTTTTGATGTTCTCAAAGATGATTATTGTTTTTATTTAAACAAGAGGGCAGCCAACCCGTGACCTACCGTCCTACCCTTCGAGTTTTCCTTCTTAGAGTCAAAATATATCGGGAAACTGCTAGTGCAAGTGTGTAAGTGTAACCCCTTTTAGAAGACTGCCGAAGTTTTGTTTTAAAGAAATTTTCTTATTTCGGTTTATGGTGAATCACTCTCAAATAGAAGAATAAAGCTTGATGTACCCAAAATTTTTAGGACTTGTTTTCTTCCGAACATAAGTGATTTACAACCATTTGAGGTTGGAAAACATAGTATGTAAAACCTTTTATATAAGAGAAATAAAACTCACCCATCTTTGAGGCTTTTAAAGATAATTAACTGGAATTTTGATAACCCAAGTTAGATAATTATAAATTAAATTATTACAAAAATTAGAGCCTAAAATAGAGTATTTAAGAAAGATTTATCAAATAAAAGGCCCAATGTAAACTATATACTGAGATTAAGAAAGCATTCCCCATGAGGAGGTTTTCCCATTTCGCTCAACTCAAATAATTCAGGAACTGGAAATGGGATAGGAATGGAAACCAAAATCCAAGGTCTTTCAACTTCTTGTTGTGCAAAGAGTTGCAAGTCTAAATTAGACAAAAATATAAATTCTTTGCACGACACAACTTATATATATACACTAACGATATGTTTAGCAAAACTTCAAGATTCATTTATTCAAGACAAAAACAGATTGATGGAACTTGTGAATTATATTATACTACAAGAATATGGAATCCAGATAGCAAATCGTTTTCATTTTACTTGTCACTGGATTTCAATCAGAATGTAGAAAGATCCAGCTGATCATAGGCCAATCTTACATGTTTTAAGTTTTAACTTTTAAGTACGTTTAAAACCACCAACAAGAAATATATATATATTCTACTGCAGATCTTGTTTATTGGCAGTAATACTGCTATCTGATACTAAACGACCAAAATTCAGCTACAACATTTCTATCAAACTTTTCGTATCAAAAGAATTTCTAAAGGGATAATGAACATGGACGACATCCACAAATAAAAATAGCATGCAAGGTCAATTAATATAGATATTGATAAACTAACCATAAAACTTTGACAACTAAATTGAACCAGTTGAAATTTCAAGTACAAAACTGAAATACGAGAAGAACTTGACAGTGGCCACAATCACAAAGCATGTTTTATCTATAATAATTTTCTAGCGAGGCGAGGCGAAGCCAGATGTTAATTGCTGGCTTTCTCGAGTCCGCAATCAACTCCAAACATATATTTAAGAAGTGTGCATAATAAACATGAGATTCTCTATAAACCACCAATAAGGATACAAAGAAGCATGTTCAAACACTATATAAGATTATGGATCAAAATCAATAACTTGAACCATCTCAAAACCCAGCAAAGTAACTCTATTACCTATGGGGCACGTAAACTCTCACTTCTTCCCGCCCCCTGAAACGTTGAACTTGAAGAATATTATGTCCCCATCTTGGACCACATAGGTTTTTCCTTCCTGCTTGTACTTTCCAGCAGCCTGTACAATATCATTAGTAAAGATCATAATTCCCAAAGGTTTACACCAATGAAAGATATGAAACACACAAAAAATTTGAACTCTAGTCTTGTTTAATGACATAATTGACATTTGATTAACATCTTCGTAATAGATCACCAAACCACCCATATACCAAAGAGGATTTGATGTGAAATCCCAATCATTTGGAGGGATGATTAATTTGAGTTTGTGCTGAATACCACATATTATTTTCCATATTCTAGTTTTCTTTTACCTATACAAGAGTCTACAACCTCCTGTCCAAGCCAAAGGCGATTCAGATCCTACTGCAACTCTGATGCACTTATTGATTATTTCCATCCCTTGTATACTAGCCTTGCATAGGAATCTCAAGTGCAATACTTCGGATTTCACTACAATTCTTTTTGCAAGTTCATTAAGATTTTCTCCAGTTATTAACCGAAAATTTTTATTTTTTCCCATCAATGAACAATGCAAATTCAACAGGGATATCTGCTATGCTCATTGGTTGTTTCCATCGCTTGCATACTAGCCTTGCATGAGTCTCAAGTGTATATACTTCTGTTTTCATCACAAATTCTTTTTGTAAGTTCATTCAGATGTTCTCAAGTCCTTAGCAGAAAAATACCAATATTCTCAACTACGGACACTGCAAATTCAAAAGGGGATGCAATGGCAGGATGGGTAAAGAAGAATTCTAACTATACAACTTTAGATTAAAGCAAGTACCTTAACAGCTGCCTCACTACCAAGTTCCTTCAGATCTTCAAATTTCATCACCTAAACAGAATAAAATCCCAATCAGTAAAAATTAGAGATTCCACATATATATCAACATAAACGGCTGTGAAAATCAAGTATAGCCATCTGCGTACTTTTGGTAAATGATAAAACTCTCTAAGATTTTTGAACGTAACATAGAGGAGAAATCAATATTTCTCTCTCCTTTTAACAGCAGATCAACAATATATATCATGCTGAGGAGAATGCAATGCAACCATAACCATATGTATGAGTATAATATGATGTGAAATGGCTCCTGGCAATAGTGGGGAGGCAGGTAGTGCTGATGCCATGCTTACAGAGAACAGGTGGCCCTAATAGTTGAAAGCAGGATGACATCATGGTAATGGAGGTAACAGTTGTTTTTGCAAGAGTTCCAGATTTGAAACAATACTGGCATGCATATAGCTAGCGTGGCCATTAGTGAGGCAAAGTAGAATATGCACTAGAGAAAATCATGGACAAGAAACAACCTCAGCACAAATAAACCCTCTCTCAAAGTCAGTATGGATGGTCCCTGCAGCCTGAGGAGCCTTTGTCTGCCGTCTAATTTGCCAACACTTCACCTGGAAAAAGGCAAATTATTTAGACATTTATTTCCTCATTCTGAAAAGGTCAAGAAAAATATCGAAGAAGGAATTTTAATTCAGAAGAATGGTTATCACAAGGGGAAGAGAGCATTACAAAAGAAGATTCTTATCATGCAAACCAAAACAATGGCCTCATACTACAAAGAAAAGCTTATACAAACAACAACTAAATACCATGAAAAGAAAACCTAGAAATAAGTTTATGACTCATTGCAACAAAAGGGAGTTCCTTTACAATACCAAGAAAATGAAATTAAACTTAAGTTTGGAATTTAGTAACTGAAAAAAGAACGATGTAAATTTTCAAATAGAGAGATTGATCCCCCAAGATATTACCAAGCTTGAAAAGAATAAATCCAATATTTGAGCCATTCAGCTCTGATACCCAGCTCAGAAAGCATCACCCTCAACGCATCAAATCAAAGGAACACAGACACTAGGATAAATTAATGAAGCATTAAACAAATTTAATTTCAAGGCAATGGTACCACAACTTGCTGTTAAGGCACATGAAGGAAATTGACAACAATAAACTTTAAGGTATCCACATTACCTCATCAGGTCCTGCTGTGAAAAAGTATATGAGATTGATCGCTGAAAAACCAGTCTTGATGATTTTTGGAAGAGCACTGTTGCAAAGAAGATTAATCAACTCAGTCATGCACTCATTACAATTCTATTAATTTCCATCGAAAAACTCAAGAAACTTTCTTCACTAAGATTTTTTTTTTCCTTTTCTGTTTCTCCAATATTATAAGAAGAGATTGAAAATTACATAAACAAATTCTTTGAATGGAAAGAAGAGATCTCAACAAGCTCTTGAAAAACTTAATTTCAAAATTTAAAAAGAAAAATCCTTCATAAAGAAAGCATAACCATGCTCTCTTAAATCAATAGATACAGAAATTTACATAAGATGGCATTTTATGTTGGAAAATCAAGAAACCGATTAATTAATTACAATTGGGTCACAATCATCATTTAACCCAAAGATAATCTCTTGTTATAGCCAGGTAATTCCTTTTTTTCAATCTCATTCAGTTCAACTTCCTATGGACTTTGTCAAAATAAAGACAAAAAATACTTACTTTTATAAAACTATCAAACATAGTTCCTTCTTAAAGCTACAATATTTTCATGTATATTCAGTAGGCATCCACCCTCATTTTTTTCTTTTATATAAGCGCCCTCATTGTTGAAAGATATCTTTTGAGTTTAGATGAACTAACCTCTGTACCTTGTTCTCCTCACAATATTTTGCTGCTTCATCTGGTGGCATATCTGCAAGATTTCTCTCCAACACACAACTAAAAGGAATAATTTGTTCGCCCCCATGCTCCTGGACCCTAAAAAAGGATAATGCAACTCTAACTCCTTCTGACAATTGAATTTTAGCACTAATAAAATTCTGTATTTTTTCAGATGACTCACTCCATTTAAGTGGCTTAAATAAATGTTCAAGAAAAAAATAGGGCATACCAAGCATGAATCTTGGGCAAGAACTTGTTCTTTTTTCTTTGGTAGTCTTTCTCATTCATATTCACCTGTGTATATAATAAAGATATGACCATGAAATATCCTTACCACTGCCTGGATGAGATATTCAAATATGGATATAGTAACATAAACATACATAGAGCCCCAAACGATAAGGCTGTAACACCACTGTACACAGGTGCAACAACCTCTATGGTGTTTTTTTTTTTTTTTTTTTTTTTCAACAAAAAGCTCTTCCTCTTTAAATAAATAGCAAACTCAATTCATGAGCCCAGTAAAGAAAACATCATCAACTTCCTGGCTTTTTGTTCTTCATCAGAAGATAAGATATGTTCTGACTTGTAAAGATTATTATTCTGGATGACTTGGGTCCACAAAAAGTTTATAAATAAAAAGGCTGGGCATAAAAGGATAGAGAAAAAAAGTGACAAGCATGGCTTGCTCCAGTAATCAGGAAGCGAGCTTTCTTCATATTATAAGAAGAAGAAGGGATTACCAAGTAAACTACAGGCTTGGCAGTGAGAAGTTGAAAAGTATTTAGTATCTCAATATCAGCAGCTTTCCAGTCCCCTAAACGAACATCTTTTCCCTCCTCAAGCGAGGCCTTGATCTGTAGATACCAAGAACCAGCATTATATATAAGTTACTTAAAGAAGAAAAAGAACTTAATACATTCAAGTCAAGATCATTATCATAGCCAGTGAAGCACTAACCTTTTGACACAATTCATGCTCTATTTTTAACTGTTTATCATTGCTCCTTTTCATGCTCTTCTCAATATCTTCCACCCTCCTTTCCATGAATTCAATATCCTACAAGTCATTTAGAACATATAGCAAGTTCTTTTATTTCAATGGAAAAGTTGTAACCACAAATATAGTCAAGAAATCAATACGATTAAATGAGAAAATACAAGACAAACAAAGGAAGTTCTCTAGCAAAGCTACAGCACATACTTAAAATGAAATTCATGAACAATCAAGAATCACAAATTTAGAGAAAAAATAAATGACCAATGAAGAGATTGTCATTGTAAATTTTCTAGTACGCAAATAGACAAGATGCCTTTATAAAATTTGAAATCTTTGAGAACTATAAAATTTTAGTATGTGAAAAAAGGCATGAGAATCTCTTGTTTACTCAAATTGATGTTGCTTGTCTAGAATTTTGACCTAGAACAATGAACCAGCTTACAACCCCCAATATACAAGTGTTGCTTGTATAGTTATAACAATGATAAATATTTTTCACTCATGTAAATTTTGCAAATAAACGTAGTGTTTCTCATAAATACCAAATATAAATTGAGAACTCATGTTCAATATCTATGTAAGAATGTATCAGCAGCAAGAGAAAGAGAGAAGAAAACCAATAATTATGATAACCTCAACAGGATATGCAAATATCTTCTAGAAACTGTTGGGAGAAATTTTCATTTAAGCTTATCCATCTCAAAACCGGGTAATAGAATAGAAATCTTTATCTCGGACAAGCTCCCCCCATTAACAAGCAATTAGCATAGTCATATGTAGGCCTATCTTATACTTATCATCATAATTCAAACAAATAAAGTATCCACCAACTACACAATGCCAAAGATTATAATCAGCTTGAGTTTCAATATAAGCATACCTTTAACCGTAACTCTGAGCTAATGACCTCTAAGTCCCTCACAGGATCAACAGAGTCATCAACATGGATAATGTCTGGATCTTCAAATGCACCTATAAAACATAATTTAAAAATTGAAAAGATGAATTTCACAGTAAAAGCATATATGAATAGAAAAGCAAAAAAGCAGATAATGCATCTCGAATTAACGATCAGTCTGAATATAGGTCACACAACTACAGAGAAATGAAGTGTCCTCGAAGATGTGCACAAGGAAGTTATATCATAACATAATCTACAAAGACAGTATTCATTCCATCAAACCTCCCTAACGACTGATAAAGAGGTCAAAAACCACATTTTCTAGTCTAACAAGAATGAGCAACATATACCATCACTGAGCAACATATACCATCACTCTACTCGGAAATTAAAAAAAGCATTTATATGACACTAAAAACTTAGCGCATTCCAAATCCTATATCATTACTGCACTTCCACAACACAGCACATAATTAGAAGAGAAGAAAACTTATAGGTGCACATACAAAACAAAATAATTTCAAAATTTGAACAAGATAGACAACAGTATTTAGCAAATCACATGCAAACCCATTTATTAAGTCCAATCATTCACAAAAATTATGCATGGATGTGCAACACTACAAATAAAAGTATCTTACGTAAAACATGAAAAATTCCATCAACCGCACGGATATGAGACAAGAAACTGTTGCCCAACCCCTGTCCTTCATGGGCACCTCTAACTAGTCCAGCTATATCATGGATCTCCAAGAACGCCGGAATCTGGACATCGAAAATTAAAATAAATTAGTGAACAAATAACACAAGCATCCATGCAGCCTAAAACTACAACAAAATCAGACCAACAAAAAAAGCCACAAACCTCGCTTTTTGGCTTGAACAAATTGCAAAGCCACTCAAACCGCTCATCAGGGATATTGACCCGAGCTTCATTAGGCTCAATAGTGCAAAAAGGGAAGTTCTCAGCAGGAATTGACAGCTTTGTAAGCGTGTTGAAAAGTGTAGATTTGCCAACATTTGGCAATCCAACCTGAAACCAATCGCCAATAATTATAAAAAAAATTAAAAAATAAATTTCTAGATTCTCGGTGTTAACAAAAGTTACTGAAACAGAACTTTAAGTAATTCCACAAGCATTACATTAACATTAAGTATTTATTTAATCACAAACAAATCCAATAGAAATGAAAAATAGAATCTCAAGCATAATCAACATAGAAATAAGAATTAAAAGAAAAAAAACCTAGATTTCTAGATTCTCTTGGTGTTAATAATATGACTGAATCAGAACTTTAAGTAACTCCTACAAGTACGATACTAACATTATCGCAAAATCTGGTATTCATGTAATCACAAACAAATTCACTAGAAATGAGAACTAAAATTACAAGCAAAATTAAAACAGAAATGAGAATTCAAAAAAAAAAAAAAAAAAACCGAAAATGAGCGATAGTGTGGAGTTGAAGGAGAAGATTACGATGCCAATCTTGAGGTGAGAAGAGAATCGGCCGAGAATCGGTCGCTCGGCAGGTGCTTCTTTCGATTTTGAAGCTTTTGGAGGCATTTTTTTCTTTCAAGGTTTTGCTTGTTTGGGAGACGCCGAGTTTCTAGGGTTGTTTCGGAGAAGAGAAGAAGATGCGAGTGAGTGCGTGTGGCGCTGACTGTACTGCTCACACTAACAGAAAATATGAAAGTAATAATAATAATTAATAAAACAAAATAAAAAATAAAAGCTTAGAATTTATTCCCAATGTTTTTTAACTCATCTGTTTTTTGTTTTTGCCTTTCCTTTTTTTTTTTTTTTTTAATTTTATAATTTTGTGAGCATGTTTAAGGCTCTATTTAGTTAATTATTAAATAGTTTTTAGAATAATATTTTAAAAAAAACTAAATTAGGTGGGTATTACGATATAAAATTTTAAAAATTAACAAAAATACCCCTTATGTATATTTTTTTACTAAACACTCATATAATAAAATATTCAAAGTTAACAAAAACACCCATAACTCACTCATTAAATACGGACAGCAGGCCAACACAGTCGGAGGTGGCCGGAGTCGTCGTATTGGCACATGACTGGCTGGATCTTGCCAGTCGTGAGCCGATATGACATTTTTCGGCCAGATCCACCGTGGATCTAGTTGGAAAATGTCAGATCTACAGCTAGATCTGACCATTGATAGCCAGATCTACAGCTAGATCTGGCCATTGATAGCCAAATCTGGCCGCATTTGGTCAACGACAGCCAAAGATACAACCGTCGTTGACGACTGTCTACAGCCAAAGATCTAGCCTTTTTCGACTAGATCCATGGTGGATCTGACCAGAAAATGATAGATCAGTGCACTACCGACTAGATTCAGCAGGTAGTGCGCCATTACACCAGATTCCGACCAGCTTCCGACAATAATGGCTGGAATCTGGTAAATTTGGGTTGCTGGGGTGTTTTTGTCAATTTAAAAAAAATTGATTGTTTAGTTAAATTAACAAATTTAGAGGGTTTAAAAGAAATTTAATAATTTAGTATTATATTTTGAAAATAAGTGAACCAAACACAAATTTTGTGTTAATTTTATTGAATAAACTAGAATAGTTTTCCCAATATATGTACCAAATGGAGCCTAAATATTATTAAATCATTATTATTTGATTTAAATAAATATTATTTGATTTAATCAAATATTATTTGATCGAACCGATGTTTTATGAATAAAATCTTATAGAATTTAAACCTAAACTGACAAAATTAATATAAGTACGTCGTTCTTAAAAGTTATTGTATCAAAACCTTATCATGTTAGTCAACAACTATATGAAACTCAATTAGAGAAATTGTAAAAAATAATTTAAAATTGGGGTGGAAATTGAAAACTAGCTTAGGTGTGGAAAGTCTCTCAAGGATTAGCCCAACCCAATTCCCCTTTTTCTGAATGTCGAAACTGCCCCTCCATATATAAACCTCAATTAACCCTAACCCTAACCTAACATAACACTTCCCTCCTTTAAAATTTCAAATCATCTTAAGTTAAAAATCTATCGATTGTGACCAAAATCAAGTAAAGAAGTGATTTTATTTCTTTATCATTGCAATTACCCAATGAATTATTCGTGAATTTAGAAGGTATGTTATGTTTTATCTTGATATTAGTTTATTTCAAGTATTACAATGATTGATTTTGTGTTTGGGGGGTAAATTGTGATGTTTTGACCTAGGTAGTAGTTTTAGAACTTAAAATTGGTTGTTTGTTTGTTGGTTTAGGTATTTGTAGGGATGGGCACGGGCTGAGCCGAGGCCGGGGACCCCTGTCTTCGACCCCGGCCCGAAAGCCCAAAGGGATTCCCCGATCCCGGCCCGTAGCCCGTTCGGGGAATTCGAGGAATCCTAGAACAAAGCCTGTTCCCCAAACGGGGAATCCCTGGGGGTTTTGTGTCTTTTTGTGTCCTTATTACCATTTTCTCCAAATTATAATATACCACCCAAAAAGAAATTCAATTTATAATGATTTATTATAATCAATCAAAACACCAAATGATATATTACACGTATATAATATATATATATTATGTATTAACATATGATTATAGATAATAGCATATTATATATAATGTATAACATATTTATGTTATATACATTATAGTTATATACCATATATAATGTATAATGTATAATGTATAATATCAAATGTATACCGTGTATAATATATAATATCAAATGTATAACTTTTATTTCATAGCATTAACATATTATGTATAATATATATATGGGCCAGGCTGAGGATTTCGGGGTGGGGACAAAATGGGGCGAGGCAGGGCAAGACCTATCCCGGCCCGCCCCCGAATTTTGGGATTAATTTTGGGCCCGATCCCTACCCAAATCCCGAATGATTCGGGGAAACTCTGCCCTGTTTGCGGGGGGAGGGGTGGGGGGGGGGGGGGGGGTGGGGGGGGGGGGGGGGGTGGGGTGGGGTGGTTCCGGGGTTAGATTTTATGCCCATCCCTAGGTATTTGATGGAAAATGCGATTCAAAAGGGTGGTGTAGCTGTCTATGAATTTCGGTCACACTTACTGGTCGGTCACTGTCGTCCTATTCAATCAAAGAGCCCTTTATCGAAATGACCGACAGTGACCCATACCCAAGTTATCATCACTATTTGCATGAACAAATACAAGCTATCGGTCACTTCAAGTAAGTTTACGGTGATTAATACCTAAAATGAACTAACCGATACATGTATTGGTCAATTGGATAACAGGTATCGGTGTTGACACATAACATTCGGTCAATTAAAGTGACTATACCTAGTTCTTGGATACTATCGGTCATTTAGACAAAGAGCTCTCTGATTGACAATAATTGATAATGACCAACACTTAGGTATCGGTCACATTCTGTAAAATGTATTTTTTTTTTTTTGTTTTGTTTTGTTTTGGTTTAGTAAAGCTTTCTAATATTCTAGAATTTTTCCTCATCTAAGTTTAAAATGGTGTCTATCAGCCAGGATTTGGTTAGTCCTACACATGCCCACTACGATCGAGCAATAGTTACAACCAATGCGAGCTTTAAATGTTTGAAACTCATAACGAGTTAACTCCTACTTAGTTACACTGTTTGGCCAAATATGTTTTGGCAAGTTTTTGACATGAGGAAAATACAATTTTCTGGGATCTAACCTTTTGGAAGTGGTAATTGAGGCCTAATAAGCCTCGACTGCAAATTGAGGCTAGATCTTGCCTCTACTAGTGCCAAGAGGTTGGATTAGGTCTCTAACGGCATCGATAGGCGAGATCTAGCCTTACAACACCGTAGAGGCTAGATCCACCTTTACTAGCGTCGAGAGGTTGGATTAGGTCTCTAACGGCATCGATAGGCGAGATCTGCCTTACAACACCATAAGGCTATATCCGTTCTCTTAGTGATGGTAAAGGTCGGATTTGGCAATTGGGTGTTGAGAGAGGCCAGATCTGACTTCTAGTGCCAGTAGAGAATGGATTTGCCTCAGGGCACACCCTTGAAGTGGTTAACAACGGTAAGAAGAAGGAAGAAGAAGGGAGGAAAAAGAAAAAAGAAAAAAAGGGGAAAGAGTAAAAGAAAAAGAGTAGGGGTTAAGGAAGTAAGTTAATCTAGGTTAGTTAAATATCAAAATTACCCTTATAGAAAATGAAAATATCAAGTTTACATATTCTTTAGTAACTTTTCAGGCAATATTAATAAATGGGAGCTAGGGCTGCATTTTCCATATGTGGGAGGGGTTGCATCATTAGGCGATCTACATAGGGTTTTTCTATAATTATCTCCTCTAAATTCGACTTCATAATTTGTTTTAAAAGGTTTTAGATTCTTCTTAATTTGCAAAAACGTTGAAGTTCTTTTTTTTTTTTTTTTTTTTTTTTCTCCATTATTCCAAATATTTAAAACTAGTAGCTGAGATTTATAGGCTTGTTAGTTACATTTTCATCTTTTTCTTCATAAAATATAAATATTTGTTTGTTTATGTTTATGTTTTTCTTTTCTTATCATGAAGAAAATTCATCAAAATTTTTTTTAAAAAGATGAAAATGTCCTTTTTCCTATAACATTAAAAAAAAAAAAAATTCATAAGCAAAACTTACATAAAACTTAAACTCATAATTCATCAAATTTTCTATAAATCAATCCTTTTTAATACTTTCAAAAAACACAAACAAAATTTATAAAGGAATACACATAGGGGCCATTTGGTTAGCTATAATGGAAGATTGCATCGGTGATCTATCTCAAACAGGGGATATTACCGTGTTTAGTTTTAGGTAATTAAAGATTCTGGTAATTTTTCAATGCCAATAGTGTTTACTGTAGGCTATATTGGGAGTAATCCGATTATCGAGTAAAAGGATGTTATTTTAAGATTACGGGGGAAGAGAAAAGATGGAAATTGAGTTGTGTTGTGTTGTGTTGTGTTAATATTGAAGTGTTGTTGATTGTTGATATTGAAGTTGTTTTGTGTTTGTGATTGTTGTGAAATGAATGTATATATTGTGAAGTGTTTTGTGTTTGTTGAAAATATGCTTGTTGAAAGGGGAGCATTTGTGCTCAAAATTCACGTCTGAAAAATGCATATTTGGAAGAAGAGTTCACAGTATAAGGGGGATCTCTTCTCAAGTTTTGGTTTACGAAAAATGCATATTGAATATATGTTTTTATGCTTATTTGAAACTCAATTTTTGTTTAGTTTTGTCATCAATAAAAAAAGGGGAGAGTGTTGGCCTCTCAAGTGTTTTGATGTGCTAAAACTATCCAAAAAGTTGATTGAACACTAACCATAACATGCTAAGGTATTACATAAGTCATAATAAAACCAAAATAGGTTTATCAAGTAGTATGACCATGCATAAGCAAATTTTTGCTTAAGCACAACCGTGTGCAAGCAAGGCACGACCGTATCATAAGAGAAAGTTGTCATGCAATGTCGCATTACATCGTTCCTCTTGGTTGTTAGTCTCTCTGCCAAGTTGAGTGGCACTCACATGACTAGACTACACTCACAAGACCATCCTGCAAAATCATGAGCTCAAGTAAAAAAGTAAAGATATTTCAAATTCGGATCACTTTGCGCTCTTGACTTCATTTCAAAGGTCAAAGTCAAAACTCAAAGTTCAAAATTGGAACGACTGTTCCTTGTGTTGGAATAACCGTTCGTATCTAAAGAGTTTTTCACGACATCATTCCGAGAGGTCTTTAATGCCTCTGGAAATTTAAGAAGATTTGGAAGAGCATCTGGATGTGATCGTTCCATGTGGTGGAATGAAGGTATGGTGGAATGACTATTCCAGTTAACCTAGATCTGTGAAAAATGATCATTGTGTCAGGAATGACCGTTCCTCTGGGTTCTGCAGACTTTGTCAGAACTACATTAAATGTTGCAATGGCTAATCTTTTTAGGGTTGTAAAAGCTCGATGTTTTTAGGGAAAAAGAGAGAGAAGAGTCATACTAAATTAGAATACATTCTCATATAATCTCTAGAGCTCAAGATCCAAATCAGAAACTCTCACTTGTACTCATTTTGTAAACCTTTGAGAATTCACTTGTTCTTATTGTATGTATAAGCCTACAGAAGAGACAATCATTCACAAACAACTTTGATTCATTCCTTAGTGGCGAAATCCTTTAAAACTAGGTACAATCTTGTAAATCTAAGCATGTGAGGTGAAAATCCTTGCGAAAACTATTGTAGTGGCGCAACTCGATTCTAGTGGAACTTCAAGGAGGTTACCTTGAAGAAGTAGATATAGGAGGCTTATTGATATAACTCCGAACCACTATAAATCCTTGAGCATTTTTCTCTCTCTCAACTCTTTATCATTCATTGCATTATTGGTTGAACATCATTTATTTCACTTGTTCATGCATTCATTGTTCATATTTATTGACTTCAAGCTGATTGCATTTATTATTCTCTTTTGAGTTCGTTTATTGCTCATTTGCATTAACAATATCTCTATCATACTTTAGTTGGTGAGCTTAGTCATTGAACTTTGTTTTGATAAATTCATCGTTTGCTTTAACTTTCATTGATAAGTTTTTATTCTAAGAATATTTTTATTTATTCCTATTCACCCCTCTTTAGGAATATTAGCTATATTTAGAGTTTAACATAGAAAACCACCTATATGACCAATAGTGATTACTATATATTGACGTTGGAGGATTACTGGAATGCAACCAAACATGGTAATGTTGTGATAATAGCTGCTGTTATGGTATTTCAAAATACCAAGTTTTAATTGCTTTTGGACTGTTATGTATTAAAAGCAATTGAATATTTTAATTGCTTTTTGGACTGTTATATGTATTAAAAGCAATTGAATTACTATAGTTATTGCAATTCAAATCATTCTTGGGTTGTTATGGTTTTAAAAGCAAATGAATGGCTTCGGTTACAGCAAGAATGAGTTAAGGGAAAACGGGTAGATTTTCAAATATAAAAAGGGGTGGTTTTCTCATTTGTAAGACATAATTTTCACTTGAAAAAATCCTTGTTTCCTCTGTGTTTTTTTTAACTTTCCAGCCCTCCTTCACCACTGTTACATTTCCTTATACTGTTCTAAATCTCTCTTAGAGTGTGCACTCTAAAAGGAGATTCGTCATTGTATCCTAGAGGCCAGTTTGCTATCTAGCCTTTTTTGCACCACGAAGATTCTTCTAGTAGAGGCGGAATTCTGATCTTAAGGATAGTGTTTTTGCACGCCTTGACGCTGCTATTTTGCTACTGTATCATTGCTATTTCATTGTTGTGTTTTGATGCTATTGTTCTGCTGTTTTTACTATTGTTCTTCCGCTGGTTTTGTTGTTGTTATCCTGTTGTTCTTCTGCTATTTTCCACTATTTTACTGCTGGATTTTTTGTTGTTTTCCCTACTCTTTTGCTACTAATTTATGATTAAGTCTCAACAATCTTAAGACCAGAAGTTTAAGTGCAATCTACCGAAATGGACGTTGCAATTCTTACCGCTAAGTCTCTTCCTGGCATCTCCAAAATTTAGCCCTTTGCCGGAGCTCATTTCAAGAGGTGGCAAGAAAAAGTGTTCAACTCCCTGGACGTGCTTGGTTTTGCAGAGTACCTCACATTAGAAGAACCAAAACCTATAGTAGACAATTTTGATCAAAAACTTCACACATGGAAGAAAGGAAATAAGGTATGTCATCATACTATCCTCAGTACATTATCAAATGAGCTTTATGATGATTATTGCGCTTATAAAATTGCACATGAGATATGGACAATCCTGAAAAAGAAATATGTTGTTGAAGATGTTGGATCACAAAAATATGCCATAGGAAACTTCATAGATTTTAAAATGGTAGAAGAAAAAGAGGTATCCATGCAAGTCCATGACTATCATTTATTGATAAATGACTTGAAAAATGAAGAAATAATTCTTCCTGAAACTTTTGTGGTTGGTTGTATAATTGAGAAACTTCCAGATTCATGGAGAGATTATAAGAATAGTATGAAACATAAGCGGAAGCAAATGAGCTTAGAAGATGTGATAGTACATATTAGGATTGAGGAGATGAATAGGCTTAGAGATAAAGCTGATAAGGCCAAGGAATTAACATCCAAGGTTAATGTTGTTGAAAACCAAGTGGCTCCTCCTCAACCTAAGAACAAGAAACCGCAGAGTTTTAAGAACAATAACAAGAAATTGTTTAACAACAAGAACCCTAACACTTTCAAAAAGAAAGGGCACTGTTCTGTGTGTGGGAAAACTAGACTGATAGAAACCTTCTTTTATCTCAACTTGTAAAACCACACATGCACCTAATTTCCCAAAATTCCCAGTCACCTCAACAACAATGGTTGGACAAAACACTCTCAACCAGAACTTCACTGAAATACCTCTACTGTATTATTATGAATATTCAAAACATAACACAAGTTCAATCATCAACAAGGACTACACAAAGCAACAAACCAGAAAATGAACAGTAATTGACAATAAGCAAATTGACAATAAGAAAATAAAGAAAAAGATAACCAGTTGGCTTCGAGGGCCAGTACCTGCCCAACCCAAATTCCCTTTTACTTTTTTGATATCCCAAACATTCCCTATTAACCCTTTTTACGCACAATTCCCATTTTAACATAATTTCTTTAAACCTAATCTGTAGATGCCACATGTCCATTGCTTTACGCACAGTAAAATGCTATTTAGGACTGTCCTCTGCTTGGTAAATCCTGCCCCCATCCTCTATTCACTCTCTTATTTTTTCTACTAAAGACGTGCACTAAAGGGGTCCCATCATTACCCTCCCCAAGGAGAGCCACCTTGTCCCAAAGGTGGAATAAAGGAAATTGGAGATCAATGGAGGTGAATTCCTCCCAAGTGTTCTCATAGTTGGGCAGACCTTTCCATTTGATTAAGACTTCCAAAGTACCATTTAGAAGTTTCCGCATACGTAAAACCTCTTCTGGTTCGACCTTCAAAACAAGATCTTCATCCAGTGTCGCAGGGAAAGGTTGGGCAGTAGGTGGTGGGTACTTGGTTTTCTTGAGTTGTGACACATGGAAAACATCATGAATGCGGGCTGTGGGGGGTAGATTCAAGCAATAGGCCACTGTACCAATCATTTCTTTAACTTCAAAAGGGCCATAAAATTGGGGACTTAGTTTCTCATTATACCGATGAGCTAAAGAGCGAAGACAGTAGGGTTGCAACTTAAGGTAAACTGAATCCCCAACTTCCAGTTGAACTTCCCCCCTTTTTGTATCTGCATAGCTTTTCATGCATCCTTGAGCTTTGAGGAGATTCTCCTGCAACTTTGCTAAGATGACATTGCGAGCTTGCAATTGACAATTCACTTCATCGACAGTCAAACCATGATTGAAAAACTTAAGGATAGACGGAGGATCGCGACCATAAAGTGCTTTAAAAGGGGTCATACCTGTGGAGCCATTGAACGTTGTATTAAACCAGAACTCGGCCCAAGAGATCCATTTAGGCCATTGACGAGGCTGACTACCCACAAAATAGCGTAGATATGTCTCCACACACCGATTCACAACTTCGGATTAGCCATCTGTTTGAGGATGGTAGGCCGAACTCATGCGAAGCTGCGTTCCCGATTGTTTAAACAATTCTCTCCAAAAGTGACTGATGAATATACGATCGTGATTGGAAATAATCAATCGGGGAAACCCATGTAGCCGAACAATCTCTTTAATCAAAAGGTTGGCGACATCCATGGCTATGTAGGGGTGTTTAAAAGTCAAGAAATGGTTGTACTTAGTCAACCTATCAACCACCACCAAAATTGTGTCAACGCTATTTGCTTTCGGAAGTCCGGTGATGAAGTCCATGGAAATGTCTTCCCACACTTGATTAGGAATAGATAAGTGCTGCAATAATCCGGTGGGACTCAAAGCTTGGTACTTATTTTGTTGGCAAACCAAATAAGAGTCGACATACTCTTTGATATCCCGTTTCATGCCCTCCTAATACACCCCACTGTTGAGCCTTTTATAAATGTGAAAGAACCCGAGTGGCCCCCAACAGGTGATGAGTGAAACTCATGTAGGAGTTGTTGAATGTGGGCCCCTTTCTTCGGTAAAACCAGCCGGCCATTATACAAGAGATGGTGCTTAACTAATTTAAATGGTGGATGACCATTAGGATCCAACAGTAGCTCTTGGGCAATCCCACACAAGTTGTCATCTTGTTGACTAGCACTCTTAAGTTCTTCTAACCCCGCAAAATAACTCACAAAAAGCCCATTGAAATCAACCAGTTCACTTCTTCAAGATAAAGCATCAGTTACCCGATTCTCTGTCCTCGGTTTATACCGTATGATAAAGTTCAAGCCTATCAATTTAGTAACCCATTTCTGTTGGTCTTCACTCAGTAACTGTTGATCTATTAGGAAATGTAAACTCCGTTGGTCTATTCTAATGATGAATCGCCGCCCCAATAAGTGATGTCTCCACTTCTGAACCGCCATTACAATAGCCATTAATTCATGTTCATAAACTAATTTAAGCTTAGATTGTGCCGATAACCCTTTGCTCAAAAAAGCTAACGATTTACCCTTTTGCATAAGAATAGCCCTTAATCCACTCCTTGAGGCATCCGTCTCAATGATAAATTCTTTAGCAAAATCCGGCATGGCCAACACTGGTACTGATGTCATGATCTGCTTAAGCTCATAAAAGGCTTTTTAGGCTTCAGGATTCCATCAAAATGCATCTTTCCTAAGTAAACATGTAAGAGGAATGGCTATTTTCCCGTAATCTTTGACAAATCGTCGGTAGTATCTTGTCAAACCAAGAAATCCACGTAATGCCCTAATATCCTTAGGAACCGGCCACTGCAAAATACTGTTGATTTTGGAAGAATCAACTGCCACCCCAGCCGCCGAAATGATATGCCCCAAGTATTCTATTTTCCGTTGTTCAAAGAAACATTTCTTTTTGTTGGCAACCAATTGGTGTTCTTCAAGTGTGCTAAGGGTGATCTCCAAGTGCCGAATGTGATCTTCTTTTGTATGGCTGTAAACCAAGATATCGTCAAAGAAAACTAAAATGAACCGTTGCAGAATAGGCCGAAATATGTTATTCATCAAGCTTGAAGAATGGTCGGGGCATTGGTCAAGCCGAAAGGCATGACTAAGAATTCATAATGCCCTTCGTGTGTTCTAAATGTCGTTTTGTGGGTATCCTCATTCTTAACTCTAATTTGATGGTAGCCCGATTTCAAATCCAACTTAGAAAAAATTGAGGCTTCTTATAACTCATCAAATAATTCATCCACGACCAGAATGGGAAACTTATCTGGGACTGTTATCATATTTAGAGCCCTGTAATTAACATGGAATCTTCATCTGTCGTCTTTCTTTTTAACCAATAACACTGGGCTAGAAAAGGGACTAAGGTTAGGTTTAATGATTCCGAAAGCTAACATCCCACCCACCAGTTTCTCTATTTCATTTTTCTGGTAGTAGGGATAGCAGTAAGGTCTAATGTTTGGGGGTTAGGATCTGGGAATGAGGCTAATGGAATGATCTTGGGTTCTAGACGGCGGTAATCCTGATAACGAAGTAAAGACTAACTGAAACCGATTCAGAACTAATAAGATGTTGTTGTCCCCCTCAAATTCTAATTCAAATTGCTTCTGTAAATTACCAAACTTTACAAAATACCCGTGTCCCTGGCACTGGATCATCCTAAGCATAGCCTTTAATGAAATTAGGGTCTTGCTTAAGGCGGGATCACCCACAATCTTCACTACTCTGTCTCCTAACTTAAATTTCATCACTTGTGTCTTCCAATCGATTGTTGTCTCCCCTAAAGTTTCCAACCAAGCAATTCCCAAAACTACATCTACACTGTTCATCTCAAATGGGAAATTTTTTTGTGCAATTAGAACTCCTTGGATATCCAGTTGCACATCCCTACATTCTCCCTCACATCGCACTTTATAACTGTCACCAATTCTCACCCCAAAAGTCTGAGTCTGCATCACTGATATCCCCAATTTTTCTATCACACCCTTACTAATAAAATTGTGTGAGGCTCCACTATCACTTCAGCACCTCTGATTTTACCATTCAATTTCATAGTTTTCGGACCCAAAATACCAACAACAGAACTAATCGAAAGCTTCGCATCATTTTGCAATTGTTCTACGACGGATTCACTCAACTCACCTCCACTGTTGTTCATCTCATCCTGGGTACCCTCCTCATTAATCAGAATGACTGGAACTGTTTGTCCCCACATCGATGGCCTGGAAAGAATTTCACATCACACTAGAAACATATCCCACGCGCATTTTTTCTCTGAATCTCAAGTTCTGTCATCTGTTTAAAAGGGAACTCTTTCTTGAAATTCAAACTGGTCAGTGGTCGTTGAATGAAACTGTTGCTGCCGCATTGGCTGTCGCTCGGAACAGCATTAAGATGTCAATCGTTCTAATTTTGGCTTGTCTATGCACTGAAATTTGGATTTGCATTTGTGTTTGCGCTGCCTGAAGGTGCCATCGGGTTGGTTACATATGAGTTTCTTAACCGCCCAAAATTTTTAACCGGCCCACTATTATTAGTCCAAGCCACTCTATTAACTCCACTTACTCCTCTAGGCCTTACGCCTTTACTTAGCCCATTCTTCAATTCATCCAAAGCCTAATTTTCCTCTTCTATTTTCTGGGCCAATTCAATTAGCTAGATTAGTGAATTGGGCTATCCCAACCTGACTTCTGCTTTAATTTCTGGCCTGAGCTCATTTAGGAAGGCTGCCCAAAGTGTGTCTTCTTTCTTATCTCGTAATGGTGCAAACAATACTTCAAACTTACGGCGATAATCTTCCATGGAGCTAGTCTACCAGATTCCCATCAGCACCTCATACGGTCCTCCTTCTTGGGATCCACCAAATCGAGGAAGTAGGGAGAGTTTAAACACAGGCCAGGATGCGACGGAAGCATGGATTTCCATCCATTGAAACCAATGTATCGCGTCTCCCTCCATACATATCACCACTGTGTTCAATCGTTCCTCTTTCGCCATGTGATACACATTAAAGTATCTTTCGATCCTAAATAATCACCCATAAGGATCTTCACCCATGAATATCGGCATTTCAAATTTTCGGCCAACAAATTCTGGTCGACTTCGTCCTGTCTCTGTGTGTTCACCGTTCGTATTTGGATTAGGTTCATCATTCTCTTCCCTTAGGTTTGGATTCGAATTAACTGATATTTCCATCAGCCCATGTAATAGCTTCTTTATACTACTATACTTAGAAAATATAGTATGAAAAACATACATGCTTATTAAATAAAAAGTAATTGGGCCCAAAATTTTTCTTTACTAAACATATAATTCTTTACATATACAAAATATAAAAAAACAACTTTAGCAATGGCGAACAGTGATGCCATTACTCTTCACTTTTCGACGTCCTTCCGACTACTTCTCACCTATTTCCTGTGAAACATGGAAAAACAACGGGGTGAGCACAAAAATGCTCAGTAAGTAAATCCTCTACTCTTTCATCCCCGCAACTTATGCTTTGGTTCTTTCCTTACTCCATTCTTTCTCTTCTTCAATTTCTTTTTGTTCTTTCTCTTTTCTTTCACTGTTTCTAGTTCTCACTGTTTCTAGTTCTCACTGTTCCTTTCCTTCTTTCTAATTCTTTCTGTTCTTTCTTTCTAATTCTCTCTGTTCTTTCTTTCTTTCTTTCTTTCTAATCCTTACTAACCATGATAGAATTCATGGTAACATGCATGAATGGAGTGCACATGCAATAATGCATAAAAATGCATTTTCTTTCTTTTCTATTCTTCTTCTTCTTCTGTTTCTTTTCTTTTCTTTCTATTTCTTATTCTTGCTTCTTCTTTTCTTGCTTGCTTAAACTCTTTCTTTTCTTTTCTTTCTTTTTCTTATTGGCTCAAGCTTTCTCATTCTTTCTTATTCTTTGCCGATCGGACTCGGTTGATGCATGGATTTGGAACCCTGGCCGTGTGAGTGAGTACAGTCCTCATCTACATGCACTCTTATGGACTATACAAATTCTTTCTTTCTTCTTAGGCCACTCAATTAAGGTGGCATGCATGTAGGAATTCTTCTTGGTACAACCCTCATCCACATACACTCTTACGGGTTGTACAAATTCTTCTTCTTTTTATGCCGCTCACTTAAGGCAACATGTATGTGGGAAATTCTTCTTGTCACCCACGGGTTCCCCATCACAACAACCTATTCTTTTATCTTCTTTAGCACTTTTCTTTCTTTAATTCTTTAGTGTTTTTTCTTTCTTTCTCTTTGTTCTTATAAATTCTTTATTCTTTCTTTAAGTTCTCATGCATATGGATGGCTCATGCTTATGTTTCTTTCTTAAGTGCAATTATGCAATGCAATTATGCTATGTTGCACAAAATAAGTTTCTCTACTTATGCACAAGCTTCTCTTAGGCATTTCATCAAACATCATGCATGCATACTTAAATTCTATCTTTGATAGATCTCTACTTCTTTTTTAAATCATCCATTCATGGAGCAAAAATCCTCCATAATAAATCTAAACATGGCCAAGAAAAACACTTCAAATATTCTACTCAATTTCTTTCTACATGCAACCAAACTTCAATTAGTCACCGCAATCTCAACTCTACTTCTCATGGCTCAAATCTACTCATCAAGAGCCATCTACTCATCAATAATCACATTCTCACTAATCAAAGTCAACTCATAAGCACATACATGCATATCAAATTAGTTGATTGCTTAAATCATAACTTAAGTTGGATTTACTTACCTTTGGCTTGAGTAATTCCGCAAGAAACTCTTTATCTTTGTGGGACTAGTTCTTGCTCTTAAACCCTAAGCATAAACTTCATAAGAATTCTAAACTTCATAAATTAATCTCATATCTAGAGTAAGAATCCTTACCTCTTGATGCTTATGATCAAATCCTTGTCAAAATCCAACCAAAAGCCCTCAATTTCCTTAGCAAAATGAATGAAGAATTGAGAGAAATGGAAAGTAGTAGAAGTGTATGGGGTGTAGAGAATGGGAGGGTTTCTAAGGCTAAACCCTTGTTAGCTCATATAAAGAAGCACTCTTTCCCATTTTGCCCTTGCACTTTCTTGGAAATTCCATCTTTGTCTTTTAATTCTTTACAAAGTCACCCCTACTCCAAAGCATTCTCCATGAAATTTTCTTATATTTCACTCCCCACTTTTCCTACTAATTAGGGGTAGAATGGTCACTTCACCCCTATGGAAAATTCTCTAGAAACTTCACAAGAAAAATCAGCCGACTATTCTCCTCGGCGAAAAAATACAGAGCATACGTCACTGCGGCGAAGCTCCTTCTTCGCCCCGGTGAAGTTTGCATTTCCAAAATTTTCCAAGGCTTCACCAAATTCAGGGCATCCAAGCAAATTTAACACCTTACAAACTTAACCAAGGGCAACCAATCAACAAGAACAACACCAATACAAAAATAAGCAAACAAAACTATGTACCTCAAAGTGGGCGTTACAACCCACCCCTTTCAACTCTCCTGGCTTCTTCCTCGTCTTTGCGTCTAATCCAAGCTTGGATTTCCAACAAGCAGACCCTCATCATTCCCATGTCTTTCTCCATAATATCTAATCTGTTTTCCATCCTTGTTCCAACCATACCTTGATCGTCACTACGCTCTGATACCACTTTGATAGAAACCTTTTTTTATCTCAACCTGTAAAACCACACATGCACCTAATTTCCCAGAATTCCCAATGACTTTAACAACAATGGTTAGACAAAACACTCTCAACCAGAACTTCACTGAAATACCTCTACTGTATTATCATGAATATTCAAAACATAACACAAGTTCAATCATCAACAAGGACTACACAAAGCAACAAACCAGAAAATGAACAGCAATTGACAATAAGCAAATTGACAATAAGAAAATAAAGAAAAAGATAACCAGTTGGCTTCGAGGGCCAGTACCTCCCCAACCCAAATTCCTTTTTACTTTTTTGATATCCCAAACATTCCCTGTTAACCCTTTTTATGCACAATTCCCATTTTAACATAATTTCTTTAAACCCAATCTGTAGATGCCACTTGTCCATTGCTTTACGCGTAGTAAAATGCTTTTAAAGATTGTCCTTTGCTTGGTAAATCCTGCCCCCATCCTCTATTCACTCTCTTATTTTTTCTATTGAAGACGTGCACTAAAGGGGTCTCATCATAGACATTTTGCTAGCCAATGCAGATATAGAAAAACTAGAGATAACAAAAATCCTCTTAAAGCGAATCTGGCTGAGGGAGATAATGTTATTGCTGTTGTGGTTGTCTCACAAATGAACATGGTAGCTAAAAAGAAAGAATGAATTATTGATTCTAGGGCCACAAAGCATATTTGTGGAGATAGAAATTCTTTCTATGAATACATAACAGTGCGGGATGGAGAAGAATGTGTTTACCTTGGTGATTCCCACTCTACTCTTGTTTTGGGAAAGGGGAAAATTCTTCTCAAACTTAGTTATGGGAAAATGCTCTCACTAAATGATGTATTACATGTTCCAAACATTCGATATAATCTTGTATCTGTTTATGTATTAGGAAAGGCTGGAGTGAAAGTCTCCTTTGAGGGTGACAAAATTGTAATGTCCAAGAATGAGGCTTTTGTTGGGAAGGGGTATTGTTCTGGAGAGTTATTTAAACTCAATGTACTTAATGTTATTATGAATGAAAATGCATCTTCTTCTGCTTATGTTATTGATTCAATAGATTTATGGCATGGTAGATTAGGTCATGTAAATTATGGTTTTCTGAAAAAGATGAAAGAAGTTGGTTTATTATCAAATGTCAATATTTCAAATATTGATAAATGTGATGTGTGTGTGGAATTTAAATCCACTAAAAAGACTTGTAAACCAGTTCTAGAATGAGAAAATGAGCTTCTGGGTTTAATTAAAAGGTTAAGAACAGTTAGAGGAGGTGAATATGAGTCAAATGACCTTGATTCTTTTTGTAGAGATGATGGTATTATACATGAGACAACACCTCCTTATTCTCCACAGTCTAATGGAGTTGTTGAGAGGAAAAACAGAACTTAAAAAAAATGGTGAATGCTATGTTGATTAGTTTTGGAGTAGTGATGGCAATGGGTCGGGCTGGGACCAGGTACCCCTTGGCCCAGGCCCAAGCCCGACCTCATGACAAAGGCCCAAACCCGTCACTGGTATGATAGGTAAAGCCCAAGCCCGGCCTGACGGGCTTTTTGTAACCTCAGGCCCGACCTAAGCCCGCCCATTTTTATAATGTGAATTTTTAAATATTGATAAATTTCAATTTTTTTATATTTTTTAATTCTAAAAATAGTTTTTAAATATTAATTTATTTTTGAATACTCATCAAATGGGATGAGATTAGGGTTTGGGAAAAATGGGTATATATATGTAGGATAATCTTGTAATTAAATAAATAGTATAAAGATAATTTAGTAAAATTAATACTAAAATTGTCGGGCCAGGCCGGGCCTGAAGACATACCCAGGCTTGGCCCGTACCCGAGGTCGAGCCTTAAAATCAGGACCAAGCCCAAGTCCAAGCCCGCGAACACCTGGTAAAGCCCGGCCTTTAAGGGCCAAGCTGGGTCGGGTACCCAAAAATATCGGGCCCATTGCCATCTCTATTCTGGAGCACCTTTTAATTTGTGGGTGGAAGCAATGCTTTCAGCTTGTTACATACAAAACATAATTCCTTTTAAGAAAACAGGCAAAACACCATATGAACTCTGGAAAGGTCATGTACCTAACCTAAAATATTTTAAAGTGTGGGGGTGTTTTGCTAAAGTCCTAATTCCTGAACCTAAAAGGAAAAGGTTAGGACCCAGGACTATTGATTGTATGTTTATGGGTTATGCTCAGAACAGTGTTGCTTATAGATTCATGGTAATAAAGCAAGAGGTTGGTTTGTATGATGCAAACACAATCATTGAATCTAAAAATGCAGATTTCTTTGAGAATGTTTTTCCTAAGAAAATCAATTGTGAAAAGGCTTTACCTCAAAATAAAACTCTTCGGAATTCTTCTGAAAGTTCAGAGTTAGAAATAAGGAGAAGTAAGGGAGTAAGAAAAGCCAAAAGTTTTGATGATGATTACTATGTCTTTCTTACAGAGAATGATCCTTAGACTTATAAAGAAGCAATGACTTCTCGTGATGCATCCTTTTGGAAAGAGATAGTAAATAATGAAATTGAGTCCATTATGAGTAATCATACATGAGAAGTAGTTAATTTGCCTCTAGGAACTAAACCAATAGGGTGCAAATGGATATTTAAAAAGAAATTAAAGACTGATGGATCAATTGATAAATACAAGGCAAGATTGGTTGCCAAAGGTTATACACAAAAGAAAGATATAGATTATTTTGACACTTATACTCCTATAATAAGAATATCATCAATTAGAGTGTTAATTGCTTTAGTTGCAATTTACAAATTACATATACATCAAATAGATGTAAAGACAACTTTTCTTAATGGAAACCTGGATAAAGAAATTTATATGAAACAATAAGAGGGTTATGTTATCCTAGGTAATGAGCATAAAGTGTGCAAATTGGTAAAGTCTCTTTATGGACTTAAATAGGCACCAAAACAATGGCATGAGAAGTTTGACCAAGTATTAGTCTCAAATGGTTATACAATTAATGGTTAAGATAAATGTGTATATTCTAAATCATTTGAAGACAATAGTTATGTGATAATATGTCTCTATGTTGATGACATGTTAATATTTAGTGCTAATATGAATGTGATAATTAAGACTAAAGAGTTTCTTGCCTCAAATTTTGATATGAAAGATATGTGAGAGGTAAATGTTATTCTTGGGATTAAAATCATTAAGATAAATGATGGTCTTAAGTTATCACAACAACACAATGTTGAAAATTTCTTAAGGAAATTTGGGTATTCAGTCAGTAAATCCATCTTAACTCCTTATGATGGAAATACTCAACTTAAGAAAAATATACAATATAGTGTGAGTAAAAAAAGATATGCCCAAATCATTGGTAGCCTTATGTACTTAATGAATAGTACGAGGCCTAATATTGCTTATGCTATCACTAGATTGAGTAGGTATACTCATAATCCTGAAAAGAATCACTGGATAACATTAGATAGAGTTGCTAGATATTTGAAGGGCGCCATTGATTATGGGCTAACGTTTAGAAGTACACCACCTGTATTAGAAGGATATTCCAATGCCAATTGGATATCAAATTCAGATGAAATAAAATCCACAAGTGGTTATATCTTTACATTTGATGGAGGTGGTGTGTCATGGAAGTCTTCCAAACAAACTTGCATAGCTCGGTCTACCATGGAGTCTGAGCTTATTGCCTTAAAAAAGGCATGTTTTGAGGCTGAGTTGTTAAGGAATCTCTTAGCAGATCTTCCCATTGAAACTCACCCTCTTGTTTTAGTATCAATCCATTGTGATTGCCAGGCTGCAATAGCAACATCAAAGAGTAAAATTTATAATGGGAAAAACAGACATATCCGGATAAGACATAACATTATAAAGCAGCTGCTAGAATCTGGGGTAGTGATTTAGATTTTGTGAAGTCAAAGTTAGATTTGGCCGATCCTCTAACTAAACCACTAAGTTGGAGGTTAGTGGAATACACGTCGAGTGGGATGGGACTTATGCCTAAAGCATAAGGCGAGAGTGACGGTAACCTTACCTATGTGATTGGAGATCCCATGAAGTAGGTTCATAAGGGTAATAACAAAGCCACTTGTTGTCTTGATAAGTATGATTGAATTTTATATAGAAAGTCCTCCCTATGACGAGATAATATTGATTGTAGTGAATAAGGTTGAGTAGAATTAATCTTAATGAAATCCATAGCCAATATAAATGGTGGTGTGAAAAATTGCAATTCACACCTTATAGAGATTCACCTATGTGAAGTGAAATTGGGTCGATTCCTATGAGAGCTTAGGTAGATGTCTCTAGAGCACTCATGAAATCCAGGCTAGCACAGGGTCATAAAGTGCTAAACCGCAGAATAGTATACAATATAGAGAATTTAGTATGAGGAACTAATCCTCTGAATTACATAAAAAAAATTTTGGTTCATAGAACTTAGTTTCACCAAATTTTCGTAACTCACATTTAGTTACTCAATGATTGGTTCATAGTCCGAAAGACACCAACTCATAAATATTAAATTCTATAGTAAGTGGTGATTGGTTATTTTGAAATATGCGGTGATAATAGTTGTTGTTATGGTATTTCAAAATACCAAGTTTTAATTGCTTTTGGACTGTTATATATTAAAAGCAATTGAATTGCTGCAATTATTGCAATACAAATCATTCTTGGGTTGTTATGGTTTTAAAAGCAATTGAATGACTTCGGTTACAAAAATAAGTTAAGGGAAAACGGGCAGATTTTAAAATATAAAAAAGGGTGGTTTTCTCATTTGTAAGACATAATTTTCACTTGAAAAAATCCTTGTTTCCTTTGTGTTTTTTTTTTTTTTTTAACTTTCTAGCTCTCCTTAACCATTGTTACATTTCCTTAAACTGTTCTAAATCTCTCTAAGAGTGTGCACTCTAAAAGGAGATTCGTCATTGTATCATAGAGGTCAGTTAGCTATCAAGCTTTTTTTGCACCACGAAGATTCTTCCAGTAGAGGTGAAATTCTGATCTTAAGGATAGTGCTTTTGACATTGCTGTTTTGCTGCTGTATTGTTGCTATTTTACTGTTGTATCATTGCTATTTCACTACTATTATTCTGCTACTTTTGCTGCTATTCTTCAACTGGTTTTGCTATTGTTATCCTTCTTTTATTCTACTGTTTTGCTGCTATTTTCCATTGTTTTGCTATTGGATTTTCTGCCATTTTCTCTGCTTTTTTACTACTAATTTGTGATTAAATCTCAACAAATGTTAATAATATAAGATACCATTACTAAAGTAATGAGAGATAAACCCCCACCAAACAACCCCTCACAATATTTAAGACGCCTACGCTTAAAAAAAGGTTTTGTAACATGAATATTCCGAATGCATCCATAGAATGTGCAATTATATGAAGCGCAGACCGACCTAGGTACAATATGTTGGCACGATCGAATATTTGGCAACGAGTTTCTCCCGCTTCGTTGAATTAAACACGTGTCAAATACTGATTCGAAGTAAAAGATCTGTAGATTTTGACCAGTCAGCCAAATCAAGCCACGTCATCACGAGATATACAAATATTAAAATACACAAATTTGCAGAAATTTTTTTATTTCGTCTATAAATTAGGGCTTCGGCTTACTAATTTTAGTTCTTTGTTTTGCAGATCAGGAATTTCGAGGTATATGTTGTTGAATTCTTGAAAAAATTTAATAAATTTAAAGTTTATTAAATTATAAATTATTGAATTATTTGTTTTGTATAATGGACCTGAATGCAGATATTGCTTTGTTGTTGAGCGGTTTTGAAATTGCTTGGATTAGTGAAGTTTCTTTGTATAAGCTAAAGGTATGCAATTAGTCTCTTGTTTTTGATTGCTGATATACTGAAATTGGAATTTTTATGTGTTGCTTTGTGTTTGTTGTTGAGTAATTGTAAATATATGAAAAGGAAAAAAAAAAAAAACAAAAAAAAAATTGTGGCAAATCTCATATTCATTTAATTGGGTGCTGGTTGTAAAATAGAACATTTTAGAGTTGAAATTTGTGGAGTTTTAATATTTATTTTAACTGAAATTTGATAAATTGGCTGTAGTAGTGTATTGATTGATATAAAAATTTAAAATATATGTGGGGGTTCATTGGATTGTGTGGTTTTAGTGGTAATGATTGTTGCATGATACGAGTGGTATTGAAGATTTTAACTTTCATAGCTTTCCTACAATTTTTTTTTTTTGAAATTCTGGCTAGTTTTAGTTGAGTTCATGTGAATTTTTGCATTAATAAGAAATGGGGAAATTATCATCAGTTTCTATTTTCTTTCCTATTCTAAGGGTCCTTTGGAGTTGAAAAGGGGATTGTGTATTTCTTGCTTGATTGAATTTTTAAAGATTACAGGATAACTTGATCTGCTAATTTTACTTTTTCTTAGTGGTCTTTCAAGATTTGAGGAGAGAAGGTGATTTGCTGGCCAGTTAGGCTGGCTTCGTCTATTCAAACACGGCTCTAACAAGAGAGACTCGTATTAAGATTAGAAGGGGCGAAGAATGTGTACAAGCTTTTCCTAAGTTCTTGATTGCATCCCCTTCATTTCACGGTGGTCGTGGTGCCCTACCTTCAGCTGGTGGGCATCCAGCGGATCTTACTTTCCTTGCCGGTGGTGGGTGCTGATATGGGCATCCAGTAGATCTAACCTCAAACCATTGTACTGGCATTCTAAACATATTTTTTTCAGTTTGTTATCAGTTTACTAATATTGTTAATTTGAGCATGGTTACCGTCAAGCAACTTCAAAATAACAAAATTCTGCCAAAGTCTGAAACAACAGAGCACTTAAAATGTCCTTTGTTCTCTTTTCAAGGTTAATTTCAGCTTGTTTTTGTTAATTGATTAGGCTTATGTATTATTTGTTTCAGTGTGTTTCTGATTCTTGTAAGATATTGCTTGCTTGCTTTCAACTGCTGGAAACTTGCATGTATGACACATAACAACCACCCTATCCTCTTCCTACTCTGGTTATGAACTGAAATTTACAGAACAAGACCCCTTTAGTTTCATAGTGTGGTATGCAGTCAAAGTAGATTGTTACAAGTACATGTATGTCTAGTTGGCATTGCTCTTTCTCATAGTCTGCTTCTATTAGGAAATACTATAAGATTAGAGACCCTGATACCTGAAAAAGGTAAGTATTTCAAGTAGCAGCAATTAGATAACAAAAGTAATTTTTATTAGTTCAACTTAATGGATATTTACTCCTACACCATATTTTGGTGAGGATATATACCCTTTCTTCTCATTTGTATAACCCGATGGATAGTTCTTATGAATATTGTTTGTATTTGAACTTCCACTTTTGGAGTTCTATTGTGGTGGTGTGGGCCACTAAACTGTTAAAGCAAAATATACTTCTGCTTTCCTTTTATATGTTTTAATATCTGAAGAATTCAACAGGTGTCAAAACCCCTACCTACAACTTAGGTAGCCAATCTCTTGGTGAGAAGACTTCCTCTGGAGGACTTTTAAGCAATCCTGAAGAAGAACAGAGTATATTGGATGCTCTTTTGCTTGCTCAGGTATGGAACGAACATGAACCTATATCTCTTGGGGTCTAGCTGCTGTTTCTAAATGCATTTGTATTACTTTCAGTGGGAAGAGCGGATGTGGAAAGGTTATTTCAGATATGATGTGACGACTTCTGAAGTTAAGGTATTTTAAGCTGCATTAATATTGTTATGAAACAAACTGCTGGTATTTTTCTTAAATAAAGATTCAAGTTACAGTTAAGTTGCTTATCATCATAGGTACTTCTTGCAGGTCATCAGTGGTAGAGGAAAGTTCCTTGCTCAATTGACTGAAGAGTGGAGCATGGATTGTCTATCAAAAGCTGAGGACAGTAAAGTCTGTCATCAAAGAGATTCGTTTTTGTTTCACAGAATCAACCACCATGAAGAACTACTCTTTTGTGTTGCAAGCAGCGACAAGACGAACTCTGAGTTCATTCCTTTAGCTGCTGTGCCGAATGGTGCCATCTTGATTATTGTAAATGTAAGGCTGAGTATGTATGATTTGTGTCTATAAGTTTATCTACAGTATCATAGATGGTATACATCACATATGTGGAAATTTTCTGCTAAATGGGTTTACAGCTATGTCCATTTATTAGTCCTCATTAGATGATAATAACCATTTTGATGCAGTTTTATTTGCTTGAGTCGTTCTCCTATTTTGTGCTCAAAAGGATACAGTAGTTGCCAGTATATCAAAAAAACTGTTTGTGGGACCGGTGAATTGCCATTTGGCTGTGCTACTTAGCAAATTGTTAATCTGTATTAGATGTTTGTTACTATCAATGAATGTAGAGTTTGAATGACTCATTCTTACAATCTGATTTCTCTCCTTGGTTTTTAAGGCAACCCCACTGGAATATGGCCATGTCTTCCTGGTACCGTATGGCCCTAGCAGACTTTATTTGGATTCAACATTCTTGGAAATGATGTTGAGGGTTACCGTTGAAATAAATAACGATTCTTTCCGCTTGTTCTATGATTGCTCTAGTGCTGGTGCTACTCATATATATTTTCAGGTACTAATTTGCAAACAATTTTTTTCTTTTTGTGCTTGCATCTTCCAGCTGATAATCACTACTATTACTGTAATTTTTTCCTCATAATTTCTAAATTATGTTGCATAAGATAAGATTATTATTTGGGACTGGCAGTGTTACTCTCCACTGCCTGTTTTTCTTTTTTAGTTAAAGATGAGAATAACATTATTAGGACCAGAGACTCATCGCAAATTTGAACTATAGCTAACTCCTTGATAAACGTCTATGGGAAGCCTCTAAATTTTTTTGAGGTTATTGCAATTTTCAAAGATAAAGAGGATTGCTGCCTACTTTAAAACCAGGAGGGTTATGTTATAATTAGGACAAACTTCAATGGATATTAATGAAACTTTTACTTTACCAAATACACATCAGAGTCTCATGATCACATGTTTGAATAAAGAGTTTTTTATTTGTGATTTTAAATCTTATTCTGAGGGGTTAGTTGAGAGTGATCGGCAATGTGGCTGGTTCCCAATGTCTGGGATTCAATTCTCAGGGTCATCTAGCTGCTGATGAAATTTACAAATTTTTCCTGCTACAAAAAAAATTATTGTTTGGTGGGGGACCTTGTTTTAAGATCAAGTTTGTTAAGAGAGTTTGGGGCTTTCTGAATTATCAAAAAAGAAAAAAAAAATTATCAAAAAAGAAAAAAAAAGAAAAAAAAAAAACATTGTGATGTGAATGTATGGACTGTTCCTTATTTGGACAGGCTTTTTAGTGTAAGCATCAAATGTAAAAGTAAAAGAATTTGAATTTTCATCAGGCATTTGTATTTTATGTCATCAAATAAGTTATACGTGTATCACATTCTGAGTTTTGTAGAAAATGTTTGGAGGTGAAGACATTTTGTAGATTCCAGTTTTCCTGTGAACTGGATTGACTTAATAACCTTGATGCTCAAAAAGACATTATTTAATGATGCAAGACTCTTGCTTACGTTCTAATTTTTTTTATTCCAGTGGTCAATTTTCTTTCTTCTTGATGTGTGCTTTGAACTTACCGGAAAATTTATTTCTTTCTCTGGTGTTTTAGGGCTGCTACTTTCCAAATCATTTGCCTGTGGAGCTCATGCATGTTGATACTTTCTTTAGTGATGGGCAGAAAGGAATTCGTATCAGTACAGTGACAGATTACCCCATTAAGACTCTCCTTTTTGAACACACCTGCAATATTAAGATTATGGTGGAGCTTATTTCTGAGATATGTTCTCATTTACAGGAAAAGAACATTCCCCATAATCTTCTAATATCTGATCATGGCAAAAAGATCTTTTTGTTCTTTCAGGTAAATGATCAATTTCTTCAACAAAAGATGTGCAATACTTCAATTAAAAACTTAAAGCATGATTACTTTTTTGGCTTGATTTGAGCTGAGAGGAAGGAAGCAAATTTATAGTTATACTAGTTTCTTGGCATTCAATACAAATTTATGGTTATAAATTTTTTTCTTGGTGATTCTATTTCTTGAATTTGACATGTGATGTCAAAAAGGAGAGGGATGAATATTTGCGAAAAGTGATTTTTGCCTATAATTCACTGGACTATTTTCTATTTTGCACGCTGCTTGATCATGCATATATATTTAATATTAAAAGGATTTAAATAATTAAATACTTCAAATTAATTATGTTCATTACAAAGTACTTTTAGCATGGACAAGAACTACAAAATGCATCTTTTTTTATCTCTGACTTGTACATAATATCATTAGCGAAACCATGCTTCCTTATTTTTCATCTAATAAATCATTGTTTAGTTTTCCATTTTCAAATTTTGAATACTGGTACGCAAGGAAACTTGGTTTTGCATTGTATGTATAATATCATATAGTGATTTGTTCTCTTGTATTTGTGTTTAAGCTTTAACATCTGGAAAAATAATGTTGTGATTACTGTGATACAGTGGAATTCTGGCCTGCTTTTGGGTTGGAATGCTTAAACTCCTTTTTTTTTTTTAAAAAAAAAAAAATTTATTTTTAAAATATTGTTTTTAATATTCTGATACATTTATGCAAATTGCTGGTAACGGTTTTGTTGTGTGAAGTTTGTATCACGCTAGGGGATTTTTTCTTTTGGTTTCTGGTGATTGGCGATGACTTATTATATACTGCTGCAGAAACAGACAACCTCATCCGACCTTTCAGCTTGGGAATGTGGCGGATATTTCTTGTTCAGGTCAAAGTATGAATTCGATCAAGTAACTGAGGAGGCTATGCTTATACATCTGAGCACTGTCTCACTTGATGATGCAGGCTTTGAGGCAGTGAAGCAGCTCAGTGGAAACATTGCAAGTAAGCTTGTCATTTGATCTCGAGTCTGTCTCGATGAATTTATGGCACAAAATAGCTGCATAAAAGTCTTTCTGATCTATGTGAACAGTGAATACATATGTTTGTTAACTATTTCAAATTTTTCTTGTGTTTGGGTAAGATATCTTTGGAAGGATTGAAGTTGTTTAAATGGCGACGAGTTCTTCTAATATATCGCATTTATGTGTGTTAGATGTGGTATAAGTGCTGGAAAATCCAGTTTGGATTTTTTCTGGAGCTTTGGCAAAATATTATTTCGCTTCCTGCCATCGGAATCTATTGCAAGCTTTATTTGTAGATTATGATTGAATAATAATACTATACATACAACATTTTTATACAACATTATGTGGCACAAGATGATTGGGTGAAAGTTTAATTTTAATCTAAAATCAGTCAATCATATTTTATCACATAATGTTGTATGAGAAATGTTGTATAAATTTGTTGTATGTGTAGTATTACTTATGATTGAAAAAACAGTTGATAACATAAGGTGTGTTATGTTATAAATATATAAAAAATGATTAATTTTAATGATTATGTATTCAGAAAATAAAAGTGTATAAGGTGCGTTTGGCTGGGGGTTATATGAGATTGATGAGGTAATGTTATTTTATATTATTTTATTACTAAGTTTAGTTTTCAAAAGTAATATAAGATTTGGGTAATGAATGTATAAGTTGTACAGATGCTTCCATTTTCCAATTCAATTCAAGCTATAAGTTTGTGTGGTTATTTTTTATTATTATTATTTTTGCTCCCCTGCTGCATATATGTCTCATTTATATGAAGAATCTCATATACGTCTTCTTCGTGAATTTGTTGATATCATGCACTCTTATGGTATTATGCTATCTGAGAAGAAAATGCAGTTAGGGCAAACAAAGATTGATTTTCTTGATATAGTGATTACTGACGGCAAGTATGATCGTCAGCCTCATATTGCTAATGAGTTGCAAAAATTCCTAGATGTTTTCACAATCAAGAAAGAAATACAACAATTCTTGGGAATTCCTAATTACATGCACAATTTTATTCCCAACATTTCTCGTTTCATTACTCCACTTTCCCAGATGCTTAAGAAGAATCCTCATTCGTGGTCTGAAAAGCAAACAAATGCAATCAAGAGTCTTAAGTGCACATCATTTCATATACAATCGTTGAAGATTCTTTCTTTTGGGAAACAAATTCTTCAGACGGATGCTAGTAACACTCATTGAGGTGTAGTGCTTTTTGAACAAGATGATGACAAGGTATGACATTTATGTGGATACTAGAGTGGATAATTCAAACCACATCAGTAACATTATCATTCTACTTTCAAGGAAGTATTAGCAGTAAAAAATGCCATTGAAAGGTTTGAATTCCACCTTGTTGGACATCATTTCTTTGTTGAAACAGATATGAAGTTTTTTGATCAAATGCTTCGATTCAACAAGAAAAATGTTTTGCATCAACAAGTACTTCGATGGGTAGAATGGTTCAGCAAATATTCCTTCGCCGTCTAGCACATTAAAGGTCACACCAACACTATTGCAGATTATCTATCCATACCTAAAACTAAACAAGTTGGTTTCATGAACCCTAGATCCAAACCTCTTCCTTGTTTTATGTTCCAACCATTAACCCAGTCCAGTTCCTGTTCATCATCTTCTTCTTCACCAAACCATACTCAAAACGTACCTCCTGAATTCGATGACCTTGTTCAAACTCGTACCATTGATGAAAATGCTACCACCTTCATGTTTTCTTATCAGATTCAATGCATTGAAAAATGTGGACAATCCATGTATGATATGTTAGGCATCCATTCGGATTACCCCTTTTAAAAAATATTTTATTTACCTCCAGGTCTTGATATCATATTTTTGGAAGAATTATTATGGTTTTTTTTGGTATATGTTACACCAGTACCACATTGCCATTCAATTCCCAGTCCATCATATGTTGAAAATAATTTTCCGATATCAGTCATCCTCAACCTTTGAATTACTTTCTTTGATGACTTTTCTTAGATGGTTTAAAACGCTAGACAAATAGAAATCTGTGTTTGCTCATCAGCTTGCCCGGTACAAAGGTCCTATGTCTACCAAAATGGCATGGTCTATTATGTTTTTCCACAGATATCACTCTATCAGATCCAATGACCTATATTTTTCACAGCATCAAGTCACATTTCATCGGTCTTATCTATATGAACTTGTCTATAATATGTTTGACCATCCTGTTGAGACTAGATCAATTCAAAAAATCTTTTTTTAAAAAATCAGATCATTCCAAGTGAAATATAACCGTCCTTTCGCGATAATGCTCTGTGGGAACTCTTTCCTCAGACTACACTGAGAAATTACTCCAAGCCAAACAGACATGCATACGTTCCATCACTACTCAATTTGATGCCAATTCAGATTATCCATAATGGTGGTATCTAGACTCACAGCCAGATACTATGCGGGAAGAAGAGCTTCAACAGTCTTGTAATTACTATCTTCATAAATCCAGGCGACAACAGTACATGCATGCACCAAGTACCTCTACAAAACAAACATCCCAGATTCCAGATATTTCTTCAGATACATCTTCTTGACAAATCCATGCTGACTGGATTCAATCAATGGGTTGTTTCAATTTTCAAGATGAAGAGTCGTGGCACGTTACCAACTTGTTAGACGATTAAAGCTCTACGTGTCTTAAAATAAAAAGTTATGTCCTTTATGAAAATAGTGGTGGACTAAATGGCAGTTTGCCAACTCTGTAATATCTTCCGTATGTTTTGTAAAAGTCAAGTATTGTAGGCTAATAATAATAAATAAAAAAAAGTCAAAAAGTTAAAAAGTTTAGTCATGTATTAAATGACTCATTTATGAGTCTTGCTTGGGTTGTATATCTCTTATCTATAAGTAAAGCATTTTACCTTCTCGTGGAGGAGGATGAACTTTGTAAAACTCCTGTATGTTTCTCTTGCTCAAGAATCTCTCACTTCTTCATTGCATATTTTCTTTACACATCGTTACCATAGTTCTTCCATGTTTCTTTAATCTTTCTAAATTTTCTCTCAACCTCAAGGGTGTCGTAATATTCTGATAATATTAAGGATAGCAAAAGATCTCATATATGTCTTTAATTTATGTTCTTTGACATATTTAATAAATATGTTTTTCATTTATGTTTTTGTTCTTTGTTTATGTTCTTGGTGTGTTTAATTTTCACTAGCCTTTTTAGATGATGTTAGAAGCTATGTGGGTGTACGTGTGTGTGGGATAAAAGGAGGGCCTTGACCATGACTTCGACCGATCGTTGTGTTGATTGGTTTCGCTTAGGTCAGCTATCATAGTTTCCCACATGCATAAACTCCACGATCTTCTGACAACATCTCTAAGGTCTAGTAATCCGTATGTGTTGATTGGTTTCGCTTAAGTCGACTATCATAGTTTCCCACATGCATAAACCTCACGATCTTTTAACAACATCTCTAAGCATTGTTTTAAAAGCCGGACCGGAGGGCAACCCATTTAGCTTCCCAGGTCACGGTTCAATCGTTCCAACCGGTTGGACCGTCGATTGGACCGGTGACATCATCACACATCATGATGATGTCAACACATTTTAAAGAACCTGTTAATGCCTCTTCTTGGATGAGTTTCGCAACTCGAAGCTCACTGTAAACTATGATAAATAAAATATAAGGCGTGGTACAACATTGAAATCATTGAAGAATGATGTTCAAGTTTTTGTATCATGAGAGTGAGTTAACCCTATTCATAGAGATTAGAGATGTTTGATTCTTAGGTGAAAGACCACAGTAACATTACATGTAAACTTTCTTCATTCTGAATTTGTGTGGATTAATCTTATAAAAAAGTAAATAATAAAAGAATGGATGAGATGGTCGCTTATCCAACTTCACTAAGATATTAGTACTGAACTATTAAATCAAACATGTGGGGGGTTTTCTATCATTATACCTAGCAAGTTTGGCAGATCACTAAATTTTAATTTTATGAAGGCGTCAACCATTGTGAATGACTCCTAAATGAATGAATCAAGCATGAAGCAAATAATTAAAAAAAGAAACGACGTCGAAGCGAGTCATATCATAGCATTTGCATTTGATTTGGAGATGAGTCTTTTGGAGGGGAGTCCTATGCATGTGCTGACACAGAATTAGAGAGAGAGAGAGAGAGAGAGAGAAAGAGAGATAGAAACAGATAGAGAAGTGATCAAGCAAATCGGAGTATGGATACGACTAAAGAAGAAGAGAAAGTAGACAATGATCAGCGACAACAACAACAACAACAAAAATTTGTTGTTAACAAAATTCCAAAGGCAAAATCTTGTAAGGGATATCTCTATTACAATTCCGTTATCAAATCCCATCATCGCAACAATCGTTGCATCGACATCCCTCGTACTCTGCCCCAAGGTTACTAATTTCTTTTTCACGTTTCAACTTCCATTCTCCTTGCTTTCTTTTAACGTTTTCCAATTTGCTGCTAATATTTTTTTTACCTGGATCGTTGATGAGGAGGGATGGAGCTGTCGTCATCGATTTTCGGCGAGGAAGGAGGGCTTCGTCGCGATTTAAGAGATTGGAGTTGCGATCGATTTCAGCAACGAATGGGTGCGATTTCAGCAAGGAATGGTTGCGATATCAACAAGATTGAGTTTTGATTTGTGTGGGATTTCAGATTTTCGCGATTTCATTCAAATGTTTTCAGAGAATTTTGCGCGTCGAGAAAGAAGAAACTGCAAAATGGGAGAAAGTGAGAAATTAGGGAATTTTTTTTTCCCTTTTTACTGTTGGGCTAGTTTTTCTTGTGATCCGGTTGGACCGGCAGTTTTGCATTATTCACGCGGTCCATTGCCGGGTTAAAACGGGTTATTGCGCAATACCGGATTTTATATTGACTCGAATCAGACACGTGACCGGTTCATGGTCCAACTGGTAGGGGTGGAAAAATCCGGTTAACCGAACCGGTTAATCAGATTCTTGATCCGAACCGATTTCAAAAATAAACTGAACCGAAATCGGTCTAGTTTCGGTTATTAATCGGTTATAAACTGAACCAAAACCGGTCCGGTTTCGGTTATTAACCGATTATAAACCAAACCAAAAATTCGGTTTGGTTAACCGGTTTTTATTATGTTATGGGTTGCCTTTTCGGCCCAATTCACACACTCCACTTATGACCCATAAGTTATGGGCTGCCTTTTTGGCCCAATTCGCACACTCCACTTTGCACTTTTTTTTTTTTTTTTTTTTTTTTTTTTTAACATGACTTAAAGTTATAAACTTATATCTACTGTAAATTCAATTACGTTAATAAGCTTATATCTATTGTAATTGAATTTGAATTCATATAATTTGAATGTACATCAAAATCAAATATTAATAATTTAAAATTACAAATCAAAGATTGCAAAAACAAAGATATGATATAAACTCAATTACAAACTAAAAAATATACAAACTATACAAACTAAAAAATATACAAACTATACAAACAAAAAAATAGTTCCTGTTGCCAACTTAGTTTCCACAAAATCCACAAAATCAAACATAATAAACATATTTCCACATCCTAAAATTACAAATCAAACACATGAAATGAATAA